CCCCCTCCCCCCAATAAACAAATAAATAAATAAATAAAACAATACGCTTGATGAATGCAGGGATGAGCCGCGCCTGTCATCCGTTAAGGTGGATCCGGAGAATCGGCACTGACAGCAGAGCAGATGTCGGGGAGCTGTTCGGGATTGGGGGACGCCCCCAGAGTCTGCTGGGATTCGTGAGGGTCGCCGCATGACAGCGGGCAGCTGGCGGCGTGGCGCTAACGCGGAGCCGCAGAGCGGGACCAGCATCTCAGGGGTTAAAACCCCGCGTCTGCGCCGGACATTCTCCTTTGATCAGCCGCCGGTGATGCAAGCGGAGTGTGGTGCTGGAATTCCGAGGGACGGCTGCGTGCGCGGGAATGGATCAAAGGCGTATTAGCCCTGTTAGGGCTGCCCCCTTCCCCGTCTACCATATGCCTCCTCCCCCCCCCCCAAAAAATGAGCACAGTAGTCCTGGCTTAGATTCTGAGATCAGAAGTCCAAAATACCTCAGGTCAAAAATAAAAATGTTCTCTTTAAAATAAAATGGGACGTGCAGTCATACGGCTCGTTCCGGAGAAGCAGGGACGGCTGCCGCCTGCTATTTTAATTTATTTTTATTCTTTATATTTTACAGATGTTTTGTTCAAAATAAATTACAAGTAAGTCCATACAGCAATAAGTGCAACAAAGGTAACAATCAGAAAGTGTTACAGTACTTTTCTGTCACAGGGCACTGTATGTGGCATAGCAATCAGGGAACTATGTTTCAATGGCACTGCTAGTGAGCTCTGAATCCTCAGTGCTGCACTGATGGAATGTAAGCAGGTGTGTGTGTGTGTGTGTGTGTGTGTGTGTGTGTGTGTGCGCGTGTGCGTGCATGCGCACGCATATATAAATATCCCCACAATGTGATAAAAATCTGTTATGTTGACCTTGCTGAGACATTCCTCCATTCCCCACTAGGGAAAAGTCAAATTTATAAAAATGTGTGACTGCAATCAAAAAACTCAAAATGCCAGGAGACTTTTGTGTAATTTGGTTACTTATGGTTAAAGTTAGGGCTGGGTAGGGGTTAAGGCTGTCAGAGTTGGAATTAGGGTCATGCCCATAGCAATTTATGGATGGTCCCTGCAGTGTGTGTTTCCATTAAGCAGACCGCCAGTGCTCCGGGTGTCCTGGGTGTCCTTGGCGTGAGCCTCGGGGACGTGCCAGCCCGTCGTCACTGTCCTTCAGAGCAGGACAACAGTGTCCCCCTTCCAGCCTGACCAGAGTGGCCCACTGCAATTCAACCCTGTCATGAAAGCTGTGATTTTTCACGACCCTTGGGGGCCGGGGGTCGGGAGGGGGGGGGTAGTGGATTGAATGTGTTATAATTCCATCAGCCTAGCCTGCAGATGCTCATCTGAGGCGGGCGGTCGTCCTCTGCGGGCCTGTGTTCTCTCCGCAGTGGGGGTGGTCAGGCTGTTAGCAAGGGCGCCGCCCAGTGGTAGTACAGGGTATCGGTCATTGTGACCCATCCGTGACCCAGCGGTACTGGTACACAGAGCTCTGCCCTGTCTGTCCTCTATGCAGGAGAAAACCACCACGCTTCAGGCTGAGGCAGCCTCCCCCCCCTGCCCAGGTCACCCTCTGCCGGCCTGCCCCCCCCCCCCACCCGAGGACTTTGCCCCCGCCCCCGTCCTTCCCCTCACAGCTGCCAGCTGCAGATAAAGTAGCAGGTCGAATGCTTGCAGAGATGAAATCCTCCACCGGGGGGCGATCTATCGGCTGTCAGGGGCCGCTTGCCCCCCGCCCCCATACAGGGCCTGCTGATCCCGGGGACCTACTTCTCAGCCGTCAGGAGGCCCAGTGGCTCATGCCCCGCCCTCTCGCCTCTCTCCCCTCACAGGTCCACGATGGGCCTCCTGGAATCTCGGAGTCTTCATCTGCATCCGCTGCGCCGGCATCCACCGCAACCTGGGCGTGCACATATCGCGCGTCAAGTCCGTCAACCTGGATCAGTGGACCCCGGAGCAGATCCAGGTACTGTGGCACGGGAGCACCCCCCCCCCACCCTTGCCAGAGTGGACTCGTCCTGCATCCCCGATGCTGTGACATAAATCATGTGCATAAATGGGCTCGCTGGGACGGTTTAGCGACACGGTCCAGCGCGGTACAGCGTCAGTTCCAAACCCGGGGCCAGCCAGCCAGAAAATGGCCATCAGACGTAGCTGAAGGTGCCCCCAGCTGGCTGCTGATGATGTGGAGTCGCATGATTCACCCTGAGTGGTTTAAGGGCTGCACCGGTTGCAGAAAACCAGGGGAAATCCTGGCATGACTCGGGATTCTGATCCGACCCCCTGATCATCATCTCACGGCTTTCCTCTCTTCCTGCAGAGCGTGCAGGACATGGGCAACAGCAAGGCCCGCCGGCTGTACGAGGCCACCCTCCCGGAGAGCTTCAGGAGGCCTCAGACCGACCAGTATCCTTTCAGACGCGGCACAATGAAGATTAAAAGGAGAATGCGCCCATCACAGTTATAGCGAATCAGCAGCTTGGCTCCACCCATCGCTGGCCTTAGAGTCCCGCCCACTGCTATTCCTCTCAGACTTTCATTTTGATTGGTGTCTCTGTTGCCACCCAACCAGTTTCAGCCATTCTTTTCAGTATGAATAGACTTCCAATTTTCTCACGGGACGACACATTAGGTTTATTAAGTGTGATTAATTGGTTGCCCGCCCCCCCCCCCCACTAGGACATGAGCTGAGCAACCTCGTAGCTCCCACTCTGCGTACTTTGCTCAATCTGTCTTATTGGGGGGATGTAGAGCAGCCTTCTCCACCTCCTACTCCTTGCCGGTGGTTCTTAAGTTACTTAGGGAGGCAGGCGGAGGGGTGGGGGTGTGCAGGTTCTGAGAACAGGCCCCCGCCGGGGCCCGGGGGGCCTTGACGTAGCGCTAACGCAGCCGAATGTCTGGAGCCCAATTTTATTCTTCAGCGCAGACAACAATTATCCCCACCCCAGCTTCAGACGTCTGCCTTCATATTGCATTTTATAGCCGAAGGAGTTCTCATCTCCTGTACGTCCCTCACACACACACACACACACACACCACATGCTTCCATTATGCATTTTTAATGCCTTTTTTTAGTAGTTGTACATTGGTGTTGTGATTAAATTTTCATGGGGCACAAATCAAGTTTAACAAAGATTCAATAAAATGGAAAGGCGGCCCAGCTCCTTGGGGGATCCTCCCCACGACAATATACGCCCCCCCGCCCCTCTGAGACGCGTGTCATGTATCATACTGTCGAGTTTCCCTTCTGAACCAGCCCCTTTTTCAGTTCAAGTTTTTATTAGATGAAGTGTTTGTGTTCCTCGTGATGTTGGGAGTGATGTGCTTAGTGGTGGTTGGTGTTACCCTCAGTGACCGGAGGGTGACATGTCTGTGTCTTTGTCCCCAAAGTACCACCCCCCTCCACTCCTTCCGTCCTTAACTTGCCCCCTCCAGAGCCGTGGAGTTCTTCATCAGGGACAAGTACGAGAGGAAGAAGTACTATGACAAGAGCGTGGCAGAGGCCATCGCCGTATGTACCCCCCCTGCCCTCTGGCTGTGTAGGTCCAGCATTGGCCAAGCCGCCATCCTTTTCAGTGTAATGCAGGAACTGCTAGGTGTGTTTTAAACCCCAGATTGCTGTAAAACCTGCAGTATGAAGGCACACATGTAAATGCTCTGATCCTGCAGGTAAATCATCCATTGCACTGGATCCCCACATCCTCCTCGCAGCACCTGCTCTGTGCTCCCTCTCCCTCCCTCCCTCCCTCTGTCTCTCCCTCCCTCCCTCCCTCTGTCTCTCCCTCCCTCCCTCTGTCTCTCCTTCTCTCCCCCCGGTAATGATGCAGTCGTGAGACAGCGAGCATGAAATGAATGCCCGCAGGAGGCCGCCGTGCGATTTCATCTGGAGGAACAAAGACAAACACACTCACACACACATTTATAGCTTTGCGGGGACCGTCCATTCATTTCAGTGGGCCATACCCTAATCCCAACTATAATGACCATAACCCCTACCCAGCCCTAACCTTAACCACAAGTAACCAAACTAAATACAAGACTTCTGGCATTTTTAGTTTTTTGATTGCAAAATTACAGGTTTTTATGTCATTGTGGCAATATAAGGTCTCCAAAATGTAAAAATGACAGAAACGCTGACATAGACGCACACGCACAGACAAACGCAGACACACACACGGATATCCGGTGCTCTTCTAGGCCCTGCTGAGAACCTCTCTCTGGGTCGGTCCGATTTCTGCCCCCTGGGCTCAGTGTCCTCGCTCACCATGAAGGCCTCTGTACCCGGCTTTCAGGTGCAGAAGCCCTGGGAGGAATGCGGAGGACGCTGGCTTAGTTACATGGTCACTATATTAGTCCTTCATTACATTCCCCAGTAAGAATAGGGGAGGAGATCACTAGCACACCGTAAGTGTAAAATGCCTTCTGCTGTCTGAAGGTCTGCAACCGGAGGCTCTGATGGCCCTTCAGGCTCAGCATTACCAGTTGCCCGCCATCTCTGCAGGTCCCTGGGTAGTTGATCATTCATCACTCCTGATTGCCCCCCCCCCCCCCACATGCATGCCTCCGCGTGGGCCGTGGAAGGACAATGGCTCCTTATTGGTCATCTCGCTGTATTTATGGGTGTGTCCCCCCCCCATTTCTGCTCTACTCTTCATAGCTCTCCCCACCCCCCAGAAATCCTCCACCCTACTTCTACTCCCAGAGCTTCCAGACGCTGAACAGCCTTCATCCTTTTTGCTTGTTAGTACTTGTTTTTTTTGTATTACCTACTTCGGCTTTCTCCTCCGCCCCCCCCCCCCGGCTGTGCAGAAGTCCTCCGAGGCCGCCGTACCTTCAGTGGCCCCCATCTCATCACAAGTGGTTGAGAAGAGCAAGGCTGAGGTAGCGCCCCTCCCTTTACACCAATTCTCTCTCTCCTGCTCTGTGTAAGGCTATATAAGCTGACTTCCGTTAATAATGTAAAGAGTGGGCGTGGTCAGTGGGAAGACCCTGCCCATAACCCCCCCCCCCCCACCAGTAGGACTTCCTGCTGACCCTTTTCAGCGTTTGGCGTTTCCCAGGCAGCGCTGGTGGGGAATCAGACTCAGCCTGTGTCTGTAGGTCGGTTGGCAGCTTGACACTTTGTTTCCTCTCGCACGGGCCGCAGCACGAATGTTTATCTGTTAGCCGGCTTCACTAGGTTTACAGATCACTGCTTTGATTTTAAGAGGAGGAATCCTACCCAGCATTCATAGCGGCGAACGGGCACAGCACAGCGGTGCTCTGATTATTCCCTGTAATGGTAACTAGGTTGTCCTGCCTCATGCCCTGGATCGATGGATAAGGACGGATGGATGGATGGATGATAGTTGGGTTGGGATTATCTCTCCCCACCTGAACAGGTTTAACAAACTCTGTTTGCTATCAGCTTGCAGCAGTGAGTCACATGAGCGTAAAATACCCCTGAAATAATCCTCTCAGTCTGGGGGCAAAGTCCCTATGTCCTGTTGAGGCTGCCGCCCTGTGTCTCTGTGTTGACAGAAGGAGCGAGAGAAAGAAGAGAGGAGGATGGAAAGGGAGGTGGCCAGGGGGGATCGGTTGGCAGCCAGCGAGAAGGTGAGGCCCGCAAGCCCGTTTCACACTGGAGCGTGCTGGCCCACCCCTCTGTCACACTGCGGATCTGCCGCCAGTTGCCGTGGACACCGTTAGAAGAGCTGTCCTACTTTGAAAAACACACCAAAAGTGTCTCTTTACTCTTCTTTTATTTATTGCTTTTTCTCTTACAGTAGGAGGTAGACAGATGCAGCGATCCTTAGAGGTCTCGCTAACCGAGCAGAGACTGTATCCGTCTCTCTCGCCTGTAATCTTCTGTCATGTCCCTTTGTTTACAAGTCGCAGTGGTGACTTTAGTATCTCTGAGCTGCCGCCCCCCCCAGGCCAAATAGGAAGAGCGGTGAGTGCAGACAGGAGCAGGCAGCTGTTTGGGTCAGTAATGGGGGCAGTGACATGTGCTGACCCCATGTCGAGCTCCATGCTGCCGCTGACCACATGGGCACATGTGGAAGGTATCCATGATTACACACCCATCCTCCTTTCCTAATAACCTGTGGCAGCGTTTGTGAGGAATTGCCAGTAGTTCATTTTGAATTTGGAGAAACATGGAGACTAGGTGGAGACTTTCACGTCTTCTGTCAGTGGCTGATGTTTGCATCATCCTTCCCAAACTATCTTTAAGTGCAGGTGCGTTTAACCCTCTCTGCGCAGGTCACTCGGATAGGATTATTGGTAATATAACAGGGATCTCTCTCTCTCTCTCTCTCTCACTCACACACATTAGGGCATTCGGGCAATAAAGTAGTAGTGCATTAGGGTAGTGGTTAGTGTAGTACAAACACTTCAGACCGGAAAAATGTGATAAAAAAACTCTTATTTTGATGTTGTGGGGACCATTTTTTCAGCACCACAAGGGGAAACTCCATTTTCAAAGAATCTGTAACTGCAATCAAAAAATTAAAAATGCCAAAAGTCTTGTATTTTGTTTGGTTAAGGGTAGTAGGGCTGGGTGGGGGTTACGGTTGTCATTGTGGGTATTCATTCCAGTAGAAAATGTCCCTATAGAGATTTGCTGATTTTGAGGATTTCCACAGAACAAGCACTCCTCCTTAGTCTTGTGTTTCAGAGCTTTAAAACCCCTCACCTGTAGCATGTCCTGGGTGTGCTCTGGGCCTCGGGGCCATACCGCCGCCTCTGCAAGGCCTTAAAACCTGCAGCATGTCCTGGGTGTGCTCTGGGCCTCGGGGCCATACGGCCGCCTCTGCAAGGCCTTAAAACCTGCAGCATGTCCTGGGTGTGCTCTGGGCCTCGGGGCCGTACGGCCGCCTCTGCAAGGCCTTAAAACCTGCAGCATGTCCTGGGTGTGCTCTGGGCCTCGGGGCCGTACGGCCGCCTCTGCAAGGCCTTAAAACCTGCAGCATGTCCTGGGTGTGCTCTGGGCCTCGGGGCCGTACGGCCGTCTCTGCAAGGCCCTGCTCACGCTGATGTTCCATCCTTTCTCCACGGCGCTTCCCCGCAATTTGCGGGCAGCATTTAGCAGACATACTGACATTCAGGTTTTGGCAAAAGGGTTTTAAATTGTTTAAAATTAGCCTTTTAAAATAATTGACCTTTAAGCGCTTGAAATGTGAAGGGAATAAGCAAATAAAAGGCTTGTTTTTTCCTCCCCTTCTGTAAAATGTAAGCTGTAAAACTCTTAGGCCAGATTGGCCTCAATTATACACTAGCCTGGTAATCGAAGGTGCCAAATCATCTGAGCCGGTTATGTCTCGTTATGCTGGGTATAATGGATATAATGAAGTAAAGTGCATGGGGTGCCTTTGAACATGTATAGAAAGCAGGAACAGGTCCACCAATGCACAGGGACCCTAGAACATGTATAGGATGTAGAGTCAGGTCCATTGACATTCAGAAGCCTGGGAACATGTATGGAAAGCTGGTATGGGTCCACACTACTCCACAGAGGCAAAGGGCCCCGGAACATGCATAGAAAGCCAGTAAGGGGCCCACAGGGGCCCCAGAACATGTATAGAGAGCAGGTCCAGGATCACGCCTACATAAACCCAGTATATTTCATTGAGGGTATTTGTCTGCTGCTGGTTGAATAGATACATATTTTGTAACTGTGATATGTATTTAGAACTGAAATTTCTGAACAGGGCTGATGTGTTATGTTTTTTTTTTTTGATGGGGGGTACAAAGAGGGTATGAGGACAGTGTTGCTGTTTCTCCTTGATTCAGTTCCCCAGTGAATTGCACAGGTCCTCTGCTGCCTTGGGGCTGTCTCTCGTTCCCTCACTTTAGCTTGTGGCCCATGTGAGCATGAGCATGCGACCACCAGCTATCCCATGATCCTCTTGGATAATGGCCACCTTGTCCCGGCAGTTGGTGTTCTGCCTTCAGACCCGTAATGCAGGATTAATACGCCGCGGGCGTTTAAGGTGCGGGTTGCCAGGTGAGGCCCAGCCACTGCGGTTCCGCTCTTTTCCTTCTGCATGTCGGTGCCCCTTATTCTCCCGACGAGCTTTTGTTCGTGGGCCATCAGTGGGCAGGGGCTTTGATTTCAGGGGCTAAGTGGTTGTTTATCTCTATCACTGTCACGTCGGCGGGGGCCTGTTTGACCTGCTCAGTGCTTCTGTCAGTTTGGAAATAGCGCAGGCCTTTGTTAAAAGGGAGACGTGATTGGTTGTGGATTTATTACTCCGCGTGCGTCTGCCCTGCTGAGCTTCATCACCCTCGATAAATGGGGTTCTGTGGAATTGTAAGGCGCGCCGGCATCGGCTGTGTCTCAGGAACGTTCCCTGCCTAAAATGTGCCCCTCTGGTTACTATGGCGACATCCAGGGCGACAGTCTACTGTTGGTCCCAGGAAGCGAACGGCGCCGTGGCCGATTCGCACCCGAGGCCTCGGAAGCCAGATAACGAGGGAGTGTGTGACACTTTAGGGGGGGGGGGGGTGTCCTTAACTCTACCCCTTCCCCTCCCTCACGACGTGTGTGCTGCTAATGGTAACCTGACTGCAGTCTCTGGGGTGTGACAGTGTGTGGGTTTGAGCTGGGGGGTGCGTTACACGCGCTCCCAGTTCCCTCTACCTGGAAGCGGGGCCAGGTAGCTGATGCTTGTTTGTCGGGCCGGGAGCTGAGCTAGCCTATATCGGTTTCTCTGGGCTTTTGGGACTGGACATTAGGGTCTCTCTGTATTTTCCTGTTCATAGGATTTGCTGGGGAAGCATTTTCTAGCTAGGACCTGCCGCAGGAAATAGCTGCTCATTTATGCCATAACCTCGCATGCTTAGTGGAGGGGAAGAGTGTACACAGGCTCACCATTCTGCTCAACGCCACACCATAGTGCCTTTTGTTTACACACTGTCTACAGCACTAGACTCCTCACTCAGCCAGTCTGCAGAGGCATAGCGACAGGACAGGCAGGGCAGCCAATTGCCTGGGGGGTCCCGAGCCAGGAGGGGGCCCCCGAGGGCAGCCGATTATGTAGCATTTTACAACGACAAACCTGCTTTATTGGGTGCGTATTCTGTTTTTCACAAAAGTGAAAATAAAGGACATATCTTGGTTGATATTATTGATTTTGACTTGCGGCTAAAATAATGGTAATAAATTTACCAAGTCAGGGGAGGGTGAATTGTGTTTTTTTTTCCCATGGCCCCCAGTCCCTAATACTGCCTCTTCCAGTCAGTGGTGAGTGTGTGGTTTTGTGTGTGTGCGTCTTTATCCTTATGCTGTGTGGCATCTCATTTTATATTCTACGAATTTCTCTCCGACGCGGTTGTGTGACACATCAGTCCTTAAAGGTGACACTGCAGCACTGATTCCCAGTACGTCAAAATAAAAGTCTCTGAAAGGAAGCGTGTAGTTTGCATTTTAGAAGCAGCAGGCTAATGAAAGAGGGCTTTATGTGCGCAAAGGGCTCCCCAGAGGACCTGCCATTTTTTCTGTCAGGGGGACGTTTAGCAGCTAAACAGGTTCATGTCTGTGAGCTCGGGGTGGTTTGTTAACAGGAGGTGCAGTCATATCCCTGTGGGCTCCCGTCCCGCCGGTATGCAGGCGCTAAACGCCGATGCCTAACCTTGATAACAGAATAAAAATGAGCGGTGAGCAAACTATAAGAGGAGAGTGATTTCTCTTAGGGGAGAATGACGTGAGCATTTTCCACCTGACTTCTGAATCACAGCCAGTCCAAGACGCAAGCCGACTCGACAAGGCCGTAAAATCCGCGAGCTACCCGAGCTGCTCGTTGGATTCCAGCCTGCGTCCGGCGACGGCCAAGGACAGAATGCAGCCGCTGGGTGTTTTTATGGTATCGTCACATGCGCGTTTGTGGGAAAATGGCTCGGATCCGACTGGGCTGCGGGCTCGTCCCGTCAGATTATAAAACCCTACGGCCAAATGTGCCCAAAGGCAACACTTAACAGTCGACCATTATCAGGCTGCTCTGGTAGCTAATCCATTCCGGGGACGATCTGTTATTCTAATGACCTGTACTTTATGCAAACTTTGCCACATTTGCATATCATGTGACCTGCTCTCGGCCGCTAACGCTGCCTTGTGAAGGCCGTTATGGGTTGTTGTGATGTATGTTAATGGAGCTGCCGATATTTGGCTGTTCTTGCATGCAGCATGCAAGCCTTGAATGTATTTATTTCCTGTGTCCTTAGAGTTGGCAATTCGAAGCATATTATTGGTTAATGGGAAGCATCCCTTACCAGCAACTTTGAACACCTCCACCTCTTGGAGGGGCCAGTAGTTGTGCGGGTGCCTCCCCAGTGCCGTCTGGGGGGTATGGAGGCCCCGCCATGTGAACGCCGTGGTGCTACCTAATGGCTTTTCGGCACCTTTGCAACCGTTCGTTACTTATATGCCAACGTTGTTTTGGTTGTTTGTTCTATGGCCTTCAAAGTAACTTTATTCATTAAACTCGTATTTAGGGTATCCACAGGTGGTTTATAAAGAGGTGAGGAATGCACACACACACAAGTCGTCTTTGATCTGCTGGCAGCTCATGTTCTGCAGATGGACAGACAGGTGTGTGTTTGCCACAGCTGGCCCTGTGTGTGTGTGTGTGTGTTTGTTGATATCATGTGGATCTCATGTTCCCTTCCTAGCCCCCCCCCCCCCCCCCCCCCCCCCCCCCCCCCACCGACCCCCACACTCCTCTATGTCTCGCCTGGAGGTGGAGTCAGTCGCTCAGTTCATCGGTCCAGACGTCCTACCCTGGCGGGCCGGAGAGCCCCCCCCCAGCCGGACTCCTGGGAATGGCCTAGAATGAAAGTGGTGGGGGGGGTGTGCAGGGAAGGGGGAGCCCGCTGCAGTGTATGTCCTTCATTGCCCCCCCCGCAGTACCCCTGCTTCCTGCCGGAACACTCCGACCGCGATGTAGCTTTTCCGCGCCCTCTGCTTGTTTTACTCCACCCTTCTGAATCAGGATAGCAGCGGACATGTGTACCTACCTCTGGCTGCTCATTACAGGTCAGTTTGCACGCCCCCCCCCCCCCACCCCCCACCCATCTTGTTGCCCGGATGCCAAGTATGATACTGGCACTTGATTTATGGCCACAAGCATCACAGAACCCCCACCGAAGGCTCTTTCAGACCCTCTCCCCTCCCCCACAAATACCTCCGAATCGGCCATCGTGAACTCATAAGTGAACCATAAGTGACGCTGGGGGGGGGGGGGCTTTACCTTTTCCCCTGAACATCTTTTCTGACCTTTGAAGCCCCGAGCACACCCATTCTCTCTTGGGGTTGGTGGCCAGGGGGACATAAATGTCTGCAAATGGCATGTTGGTCCACTCGGTTGCCATGGTTTCGTCATCAGTGGTGCGCCTCTGCTCTCATCCGGTGTAGTTAATGACCGAGCGAGACTGGGAGGGCTGTTCTTTAGTTAGCCTGACGGGCCGGGGCTCGCCTGTTTGTTCCGAGAGCCGTCGCCGGCCAGCCTTGTTACTTAAAGGTTACGAGTGTGATTAGCATCATCATTAGCATTAGCGTTAGATGCGAGCCCGGGCTGACACCACATTAGCCTTTTCGCGGGGAGGTATCAATGAGAGAGACCTCAGAGAGCCGGTTCCCAGCGCTCCTGTCGCATTAGTAAGAAGCAGGCTCATAATTAGCGCCATGAGCTAATGAGCGGTCAGCGTGTGTCCAGAGAGCGGCGCGGTGTGGCCCTGAAGCCCCGCCCCGCCCCGCCCCTCTCCTGCGTGACTCGCTCACTGTCCTTTTACACCACAGCGTCTTATTTTTGCCCCCAAGGGCTGCTTTTTAATTTGTGTCTTCGTGGCTTTTCTGCTGAGCTGGGGATGGAGGGGGGTGGACTGTAGCTTAAGGGTGAGATGGAGATGTGTGTGTGTGTGTGTGTCTGTGTGTGTGTGTGTGAGAGCGTGCGTGCGTGTGTGTGCATGCGTGTGTGTATTTTTTTTTTGCTGGTACTTGTGACTAGTGACATGGTGTATTGCAACAGCAATAAAGGGTTTCATCAATCAATCAATCAATGTCTATGCATGTATGTGTGTGTATGTATGCATGTATATGTGTGTGTGTGTGTGTGCGTGTGTGTATGCATGTATATGTGTGTGTGTGTGTGTATGCATGTATATGTATATGTGTGTGTGTGTGTGTATGCATGTATATGTGTGTGTGTGCCGCCTGCTGGCAGCTTGACTGAGGATGCTGTCTGCTGGGACATTGCTCATCCCGGTTTGTGTGTCTGCCTGCCGCCGCTCAGGGCTCACTGCCGGCTCTGCCCCTCGTGTTCCTCAGGCTGCCCCTCGTGTTCCTCAGGCTGCCCCTCGTGTTCCTCAGGCTGCCCCTCGTGTTCCTCAGGCTGCCCCATCTTGCTCTGGGCCCCATAAGCCACACTAAAAGCACTTTGCTCTGCTGGATTGACCCTGGTTAGGCATTGTTTTCAGGTACAAGGAATAAGGAGCAAGGAATTCTGCAGTTCTGTGAAATTCTTTTCTTCATGTCTGTCATCTTTTTGTCGTTTTCTTTCTCTCTCACTCAGGCCCAGAAGAAGGATGAGGGCCAGAGGGACGCCCGAGGCAGCCCCGCCCGGAGGCCAGAGCCCGCCGTCGACCTGCTGGGCCTGGGTGAGGCGCCAGAAAGCGCGACCAAGGGGGTCAGGAAGCAGTCGTGCGCGGGGAGGGGGTGGCGTCTCCATATGGCAGTGTGAGCCCTGCAGGGGGCGCCCTGGTTTAGAGCTGGAGCCGCCCCCCCCTGTACAGCCCATTTCGCAGCGCTGGGTAGCAGCTGGCGGGGGTGGGGTGGGGGGAGCCGCTCAGGTGGTGCTTTGGTAGAGTGGGCCGGTGGGAACTGGGGGGGCTTCAGAGTTTGTTTGTTCATTTTGGGGCAGGTTTCTAAGGCAAGGGCAGTGGACACACAGTGGACAGATATGAGGCGATTGGGGGATTGGATCCCAGTGGGGGGTGTCAACGCAGGGGCTGTGTGCTGTGATAGGACATGCTGCTGGAGCCTGGCTCCGCCCCCTCTGCACCCCGCCACATTCATTCAGATGCTTATAAACGTGGTGACACACATCTTTGGATTGCCTGACCTGTACTGGTCAGCCTCTGCTTTTATTTCAGTCAAACTGCCGGTTATGATGAGTGACGGATAAAACAGTAGGGAAATCGAAGTGTAAATTAAGTCATTTAGCCTCACAGGGCTGTGGTTATATCGCTGTCTGGACCGCTGTACCCGTCCCCCCCCTGCCCCCTGTTATGCCGTTAATGACACCGTTTCCCACCTCCCCGTTACTGTCGGCATGCTCACTAATCTGCACTTTCGGTCCCCCGTCGCGTGTCCTGCCTCCATCTGTGTGCCACGCCTCAGCCGTGTGCTTAGCGTGCCGCCTCTAGCCTCCGATTGCGGCCATCTGAGCAGATGGGGCCCCCGCCGCGTGGTGCGGTGCGTGGCCTGACTCAGCGGAATCAAAGTCCTGGCCTGCCAGTGGCCGGCGGGCAGGAGTGAGTGTGGCCCCACCCCCCCCGCACGCGAACACTCCTCTCACCTCCTCATGCCGCCGCTCCTTACGCCGCCCCCTCTCCCCTGCAGACACCCCCGCGGTCAGTGCTGGCAGCGGCTTGGCCGGTGCAGCCCCGCTCAGCGACGACCTGGACATCTTTGGGCCCATGGTGTCCAACCCACTGCCATCCTCCTCCGCACAGGTGATCCGCCGCCCTCTGCTCTCTTCCTACTCTCTCTCTCCTTTTCCTCTTTTCTCTCTCTCTGCTCTTAGTTCTCTGCATTCTCCCTTTGCCGTCTTCTATCTTCTCTGCTCTCTGTACTCTTTGGTCCGTCAATTCTCTCCTCTCCCCTCTCTCTCTTTGTTGTTCTCTTTTTCCTCTGTTCTCTTTCCATTCTCTCTTCCCCTACTGCCCCCCCCCTCCCACCTCGGCTCTCTACACCCACCTGTTCTCCATTTACCTTTCGTCCTGCAGTCCTCTTTCCTCCTTTTCTCATCAACACATCTCTCTCTCCTCTCTCCTCTATACCTCTCTCCATAACTGTCCATGGCCAACTATGAACGCCATGCAGTCGCTTGCAGACACTCCCCACCTGTCTTGGCTTCATCCTGACCCTAGGTGGCGCTCTGGGAGCAGCTCATCATGCAGGCCTGTCACTCCCAGCCAGCAGCAGTCATGCCCCATTCTCCCAGCGGCCGACAGTCTTAGATCGGCTCGTCTTGTCTGGCCTGTCCAAAAGCTCCAAAGGGAAAGGTCACCACATGCCTCCGACATTACTGCCCGAGTGGTCGTATTTACCCTTCCGGCACACTTCGGTCGAGCAGCAGCTGCTGAGGGTGCCCTGCGCTCCTTAAGTGACGCGCTCCATGTGCGTACGTGCACGATGGCGCCGTGCCGCAGCCTCACAAGACTCCTTTCACAACAACTTTGGCCAATGGAGACCAAGGGGGTGCGGCAGGGGTCATCCAGCTGGTCTCCCCGGAAGCTCGGATGGGGATTAGTCAGCAGCTTGCACCCGGGTACCTCCCGCATGAAGCAATGTTTTATTCATGAGCACGGAAAGCTTCTGCCTGCGCGAGATATCCCGCTAGAGCCAGTCGGCTCCCGGTGAGGAAACGCAGGTCTGCTTGTGTGGTGGGGGTGGGGGGTGGGCGGTGGAGGGGGGGCAGCAGGCCTCTTATCTCCACTCCGGCAGATGACATCATGCACCGAGGGCTCGACTAAGCCAGTGTCTGAAAGATGCCGCTAAAATCACCCCCAGTCTTTCTCCAGTGCATTACCGTGCTACGGTGGTCAGACCACTGCACTAACATCAATGCCCGTCATCCTCGGTAAATTATATAGCTGCCTGAATTTAGAGTAGGCTAACACTCAGTGTTGTATACAATATAATTATAAAATAAAATACAGAGAATGGTGATGGTAAATATGGTGGAAGCAAAGTGTGGACGGTAGGCGCTACAACCAAAAAAGGCTGTTATTTTAGTCGGTCAGCTACATATGTAAATTCTGCTCTCCTTCATCAAAGGGCTTGTTTAGTATGAAGTCAGCATCAGCTACACTGTCTGCCATGTTTCTCTAGCTCAGCTTGAACACACACAGCTTAGTTATCAAGTGAAATAGCAAACCAGTCTGCGAAAAATCACTGACCATGAAAATTAAATAAACTCAAAACTTAATGATAACTTTATGTACAATATTTACAAATGTCAATAGTGAACAATGACATGCGAAACGATAAACTTCCACTCTAAGTTGCTTTAAAATGTTTCTGTGCCCCCGCATGTGACAGAGTGAATGAATACTGTGAGCCAACATCGCCGACAGCATGTGAAACCTGACGAGCATTAATGTTATTGGTAGTTCATCCTGTCTTGTTGAGACGTCTCCCAATCACCATGCAGGGAAGCCTGGCTTCCAGGCGAGTCTAAATATCTGACTGCAAGCTGTCCAATCAATGTTGCCAAGCCAAAAAACTGTGTACGAAGCGCTCTCAGAGTCCCAGTGAAGCACAGCGTCCATTTAGGCTTCGAAAACATGTAATCGGAGCATATTCACCAATAAGATTTTGTCTATCCTCCATTTTGGAAAAGCATATATGAAACCTACATAGTCTTCCAGTGAAGTATGTCGTTACTGGGCATCTATGGGCTCTATTTATCCTGATCTAAAGGGAAAATTAATGTATATGGTCCCAAAAGAAATTTTCATGAAATGAGCAGTTCTGTGGTTAAATTAGTGAGATAGATTACACTTTTGATTGCAAATAAAATGAATTTACATTGACTAATTCAATATTTTTGGAAAAACGGGGGAAACCATGCTTCCTCTATAATCTTAGAACAGTCACTTGCGCAATAAAGAATATGAGAATACTGTTAAATATGTCTGTTAAAGCCGCAGCAGTGGACAAGCTGTTGTTTTGTATCGCTGACAGGATCAGTTTTCATTCATTGGTTGCATCTTTGCCTAAATGGTGTGCTGACCCTTTAAGATGTGCCCATTCTCTCCGCACCCTTCCCTACCTTGTACCCTGACTCATCCGGCATCTGTGCCGACAAGGGTCGTGTTGGGAACCGCCGGAGCAGGTGTTGATTGCAAAGGCTTAAAATAGAGCCGTTTAGCCATGTAATGAGGTACCGAAGATATCAGGATGAGAGAAGCAATGCACTTCAGAGTGAGCACTGTATATGGGATACATGATGTACGCTTCCTAGATACGTGTCTGTGTGGAGATGGGAGGGTGGTAGGCAGAGAGTTTGGCAGCGATGGTTCAACTCCTGTGGGTTTTACACCTTGTTTTTTTTGAGTTAGACATATTTGTTTCTATGGTGTACCGATCAGACCATAGGGTGTCAAAGAAAATCACCCCGTTCCTTCAAACCCTGTTTCCTCTGGATCCTTTTGAGGTAATGAAAAGCCAGGTTCTGATAGTCTGTGTACTTCTTCCCTCCTTGATTTTGCGTATTTGCCAATCCTAACCCTACCTGCATATCCACCGGTTTGAGAACACGGTGGACCAGGCCATCCTTCAGGAGGCAGCTAACCCACCTGGGCTCTTGTTGCTTTTCAGATCGGCTCAGGTATGATTCAGTTCAGTTTCAATTCAGTTTTACATTACGTCGTCTCAAAGCACTTTACATTATCCCCGCCCAGAGCCCCCAGTGAGTAAGCCAGAGGCGACAGTGGCAAGGAAAAACTCCCTAGAAGGAAGAATCCTTGGGAGGAGCCAAATTCAAAGGGGTAGCCCATCCTCCAGGGGAAGTCAAATGAGCAATAGGATGTTGGGTTATATCTCTAGGTGTGTGGAGTTGAAGTCAAGGGAGATGATGCTACGATTATACAATTCCTTGGTAAGACCCCACCTGGAATATTGTGTGCAGATTTGGGCACCATACCTTAAAAAGGACATTGCTGCCTTGGAAAAGGTTCAACGTAGGGCTATAAGAATGATTCCTGGTCTTAGAGGAATGTCTTATGAGGAGAGGTTAGCTGAGTTGAATCTGTTCAGCCTCGAGCAAAGGAGACTGAGGGGGACATGATCCAGGTATATAAGATTCTAACAGGTCTGGATGCTGTTCAGCCAAATGGCTACTTTTAATACAAGTTTAAATACTAGAACTTGTGGCCATAGGTGGAAATTAGTGGGAGAACATTTTAAACTGGATTTGAGGAAGCACTTCTTTACACAGCGTGTAGTTAGAGTATGGAATAGTCTTCCTGTTAGTGTAGCGCAAGCTAAAACCCTGGATTCCTTTAAATCAGAGCTAGATACGATTTTAACAACTCTGAGCTATTAGTTAAGTTCTCCCCAAGCGAGCTTGATGGGCTGAATGGCCTCCTCTCATTTGTAAATTTCTTATGTTCTTATGAGCAAGATGGCAAAGTTCCAGTTCACACTGTCCCGATTTTAACATTTGAGTCTCAAACAGGGGGGCTGGCAGGTGACGGCAGGCAGGTGCTGGTGCTGCTTCTGATGGCAGGACAAACAGTGGTACCGCAGCAGGCTGGGAAGAAGCCGCAGGTAGTGGAGACGTCTGTGAGTCTCTTAAGCAGTCAGAGAGGGGGGTGCCAGTTGGGGAGGGACACGGTCTCTCTTATAAAATTATTTTATAGGAGGAAATATTTTTGAGAAGCAAAGTATAACTTCTGAGAACTGAATCAAGGTCACTTCATCTCTGCCCCCCCCCCCCAACAGAACTGTGTTGTCTACTAATGGAAGACAGCCAGAATCATTGTAACTTTCACATCTGCTCACACCAAATATAGATTTTTGGTGTGCATGACACTGGGGTGTCATTAAACACCAGCAAGTCTGCTTTGCACTAATTACATAGGTTTTTCTGAGAGGTCTGGACACTGTTGGAAAATATTTGTGTTTCCTGTGTCGTTACAGGATTGAGGTTTTAGATTGAAACAGATTCTGTCTTGGTGGCCTTCAGGGCTGAAGGAATTCTTTAACGAAGGCCTTTGTGTGTGCATGGAGGGTCTGTGTTTGGGGTGACGCGAGGCTTTCAGGTAGCCATGGGCAGAGAACGTGCAGCGAGGGTTTTAGCTGAGGCCGTACGCGGGGCCAGGCCACTGCTCCCGCAGCTCGTGGTCCCCCCCCCCCCCCTATGGTATTTACTTCAGAAGTGGTGCGTCTCTTGACCATTCCCACTTTGTAATCCTCAGCCTCACGCGAATCTGTCGCGCTGCGGAGACGCGGACGCGGGGCTGACGGAGAGCCCCCAGACGTGCCGCGGGTCGCGCGGCGGACAATACAGCAAAGAGCGACTGCCGACAGCGAGACGGCTGCCATTTGGCAGATTAAACCGGAGCCCGTGTGGATCTCGGGTGGGACCCTCCTTAAGCGGGAGCGCAGCTGGTGTGCAGGGCGCATTATCGCAGTGATATTTACCACGTTCAGAATGCCGCCACGCAGCGGCGGCGTGAAAACCGCCTCTGAAGCTCTTTCCATTCTGGTGCAGTCTGGGTTTTCTGGCACCCC